CTTGGCTTCTGAGGTTGCGCGTCACTCAACGTTGACCTGGATAGTCATTTGGATTTAACAGTACCCAAATCCATTTTCCCTTTGGCTCGTTTGTATTTATTGCCTAAATCAAAGAAGAATACTATGCCAGTAACCCGGACGCTGGAACATTCTGGTCCTAACAAAACTCTTTTGGAAGAAAACGCGATTAGTCACTCACACACGCTGGACGAACATTTGGGTAAGGAGATTTCTTCCCGTACCCCTTTGTTTGGCACGGCTAAAGGTAGTAAGGGTTCAGGCAGCGCTATTTCCCGTAGAAGTTCACCTAGATGTGGTAGAAGAAAGCAGATAGCATCGGAACAACTTGCGATAGAAATGAAGAAATTGGAGATTAGGCAAAAACAGTTAGATTTGGAGATTGCGACCTTGCACGATGAAGAGCATTCTCTCGGAGGAGATGACGACTATGGAGATGAAGTCATGGAACGATTAGAACATGTTAAAGATTACGTCAACCTTTTGCCGGCGGACCGGCCATTACCCAACACTACTATGTCATCTAACAAAACCACACACACTGCAAGACGACTTCCCGAGTTGAGTCTGGTGAGTTTCAACGGCACTCCAAGGAAGCTTTGGAGATTTTTGAAGTTTTAAACAAGATGTTGCTGCACATCTGGGAACCGACAGAGAAAGGTTAGCGTACCTTATCCATTGTTGCACTGGAGAAGCGCGAGAAGCTATAGAAGAGTGTGTGTTGTTACCCGAAGACATCGGTTACATAAGGGCGTTGTCAATACTAGAATCCCATTTTGGTTGTCCAGACGAGGTCGCAGAGAACCTGCTGGACGGGTTACTCCACGGAAATAAGCTGAGGACTAGCGATATCCATGGCCTCCGGAAACTGATTCGTCAGGTTGTAAATAGTTAGATAATCCTTCAATAGATGGGTTACGCATCTATTCTTAACTGCCCCACAACCATCAAAGGAGTTATACGGCGTATCCCCGAGTACATGCAGCTGAAGTTGGCAGATGAAATGACTAGTAGTCGACTACAAGGTACAAAACTCCTATTCCGCGGTCTTATCGCATTTTTGGAAAATTGTCTCTCCACAGCCACGTACTGTTACGGACAAGGCGC